AGAAATTTTTTATCCGATATTCCATGTTGGGATAAGACTTTGCCGCCTGTGATGATTCACTGTGATAGCCAAGCTGCTATTGGTAGGGCGCAAAGCAACTTGTATAACGGTAAGTCTAGACATATTCGTCGTAGACATAATACCGTACGTCAGTTGATCACAAATGGTATTATTTCCATTGACTATGTGAAGTCTAAAGAAAATTTGACTGATCCTTTGACGAAAGGATTGAATAGAGATCAATTGACAGTTTTGCTAGAGAGAATGGGCTTAAAAATCCACAATGTAAAGAATGATCATAGTGGTAACCCTACCATGCTGAGTGGAGATCCCACGAACTTGGTTCAAAGGGAAAACTAAGCTATGAAAATTCAGTTGAGCACTTGGAACATATGAATGTCCAAAGCTATTCCATAGAGCACTCCAAGTACAAGATAACCTGTTGATTGTGGTGAGAGTAAGTCATATGGACTTTTAATGAATCCCTAACCTTGTAAAGGTGGAGTATGGCAGGATACTCTTGATAGGGAGGTCACCTATATAAGTGTGAAGTGTGGGCCGCTTCAGATGTGAACACTTATGAATCCATTGTGTTGTCCATGGCCAAAACGGACACAACGATAGAACGGAATGGAGTTAAGACTCTATTGTGTGAATGTCATTGTCTTGGTGTACACTATGGAGGAATAGTTCAAGGTATTATGTCCACTAGGCCGCCAGTGCATCCGATGGTGTTTACTAAGAGAGGTTCAAAGTCAAAAGCTACCTTTTCTGATGCAATAGAGTTTTGTGAGGATTGAGCACAAGAGTCTGTTTATATGTGTATTTCTTTACTTTCTCTTTTGTGGGGGATTGTTACAAAATAATACTAATGGGGCGGTGCCGCCCCACATGCACCGCCCCCAATTGTCATTTTAATATATATATATATATATATATATATATATATATATATATTAAAAATTGCAATTGAGATTGCAAATGGCCAATAGATTCCTTTCATTTTGCCTATAAAAAGGCACTCGACCAGTAGAGTAAACCGCACCAATTAGTGAAATAAAGAGAGGAGAAAGGAAAAGAGAAAGGAAAGAAAGATAGATATATGTCCAAATATCGGACATAAAAATATCAAAAGAGGAGAAACAAGTGATATTTTATTTGTTTTATGATATATCTTTTTATTTTTAGTGCTCAATTCTCAACTCCGTTAAAGTTCGCCGGAGCTCGTAAATCTGGTGTGCTACAGATTTAGAGATGTTTGCTGTTGTATCTTTGGGGAAGTTACGCCTGAACCGTTAGCTGCCACACGGGGCGTATTCTTCTTGCGAAAAGAGTTTTACTCGCCTCGGCTATAAAATCTTTCCGTTTTCAGTTGTAATTTATTTTTCAGTTCAATTGTAATTTTCTATTTTTAGATTATTTGTAAGAACTGAAAATACATATCAGTTCGTAGGATTCCCGTGTAATTTTGACACCAAATTATCCAAACACATATAACAATAGGTGACTAATAGTACCCAAAGTATAAGGACCTTCAATTTCATATTTTATATATCCTTTCTCATAAACACCACAAGCAAAGCATTCTTGAAAACACAGACATCACCATATTCATAGAAGAGGGTCTACGTGGCATCTCGTTTTTATAGGAGTAAAATTTTGACTAGTCTCCATTTGCCACGTCAGACATACTGCCAGCTTGTACTCCGTTGCTGCCAGCTGGAAACCATTATCTGTCAAAAGTTGCTGGACCTTTCCATCTTGGAGGATACAATTTTAATTTGCATCAATTGTACCGAAAAAATAGAACCAATAAATAATCATCTGGAAATAAATATAGTTCAATAGTGCTAATAATTTGGGTCAAAATTGAAGTATGATAAAATAATAATACAGCTAAAAAGGTTGAGTAACCTTAAATTACTATTACAAACGCCCGTGTATTACACGGGTGTTTGTTAATTTTTTTTAAAATATAAAATTAATGAGAAAAAAGTAGTTGAAAATTTAAACACCTTTTATAAAAATATATATTAATATATTTAGTATGACATTTTTTTGTGCGACTTACTTGTGTTATATTATAATAATTTTTTTAACTTAGAACATATAACTACATTAAACATAAATATATCAATGGAGAAATAATTTTATATTTACAATGAATTTGAATAAATATTATTATTTTTTATTATTATAAAGATAAATATAATTTATTTATTTAATATATAAAATATGGATTTCAAATTGAAGATCAACATAATATGATTAATTTGATATATTATATATGTAAAACCAATAAGAAATACAAAAGTTATCAACTTTTAAAACACATTTACAATTCAATAGCTAATTAAAGGAAGTAAATCAAAAGTTAAGGATATATTAGTCACTTAGTGTCTTCTTATGTAAATACAAAGAATTAAAAGGTTATATTAGTACAAGTGATATTAAAATATCTAAGTTAGCTAAATAATATTTATGGAATGTCCGAACCTAGATTATTAATTATTAATATATCAATATTATTTGCCCAAACCTAATTACGAAACATGATTATTCGCCAAGTAGGATTCCGAAGCATCAGAAACTGTCACGTAAGCTCAGCGCATTCGATAATTACATATAAACGGATAAGCGGATTAAAAGGGGATTAATACTTAAAAAGTCCTTTTATTTTATTAAAAAAAAATTGTTTACCTCTGTTTTTTCTTTCATAAATGAACAGCTGTGTTTATTTATACAACACAGGACAAATTATTAGCACTGCTTGTCCCACACTCTTAAATATATCATCCCATCCCCATATAATTTTGTTCTTACAAGCCTTTGACTAAAAATCAACCTTTACAATTTCAACAAGTAACTCGTTTTTTTTTTTTTTTTTTTTTTTTTTTTTTTTTTTTTTTTTTTTTTTTTTTTTTGGTAATTAAATATGTAAGCAAGAAGCTTGTAGATAAATAGCTAGTTTATAGCTTATTTAGTTAGTGTATAAATTTTTTGTATTTAAATAAGTTTTATTCGGTAGGACGAATTTTTTTAAAAAACTCGAGTTTATCTCATAAGCTTCTTTTGGTACAAATAAACCCATTAAAATTTTTATTTCAGCTAGTTTATCAGCTAATTATACCAAAAACTTTTATCATTTGAGCTAAATTTTTAGATGCAAGTTAAAAATTATATGTTATAAACTTAAAAATTACTGATTAATTATAAGTTATTTTATTAACTATCAACTAGTTTTACCAAACATAACCTAGATTAGAAGTCATCTGCAATATTTATGATAATTGACATTCAAACTGAAATAAACATTGTTATTTGGGATTGTTTATTTTTTTGGGCTATTTGATTTGTTGAGATAATAATATACGAATTTGTGTGGATTTGCACATTCATTCACATGCCAATGTTGTAAAAGGAATAAATATAGAAACAAACTCCGAATATCATGGCCAAGTTTTTTTTTTTTTTTT